TCTCTCTCTCTCTCTCTCTCTCTCTCTCTCTCTCTCTCTCTCTCAAACACACACAAGAATGATTCTCTCGCAGTCACTCTCAGGCTGCCTGTATCTGCATGGAACTTCGTGATTTTGCTGAAGTAGCGTCTGCTGCTTTGTTTGTTATTCTTTATGAGCAGCACGGGTTGGTCCTCATTGGTTTGTTATTCTTTTTGGAGATTCTCTGAATGTCGTACTGATAACCTTTGGTCTATCTTGTGTTTGCAGCGCTCTTTGTCGACGGAAGGAACAGGAGGTGATTCCGATGACGACAATTAATCCTCATTGAGCTAGTTCAGTTCGACCACTGTGACACCCATGTCTTGTTCATCTCCCCATTTCGGAGTCTCTTTGCAGCTGCTACCGTTGTGTGTTTGATCAGCCGGCTGCTTTATTGTTCAGCTGCTTCGACGGGAAAACGTCAGCAGTTCACGTGTGAAGGAAGGAAAGGGGTGATCTCAAGGGGGCAGATCATCAAAGGGAGGTTCTGCTAGAAAATGAGAAAGGAAGGAAGCAGAGGAAAGAGGGCGAGGGAGAAGCTGCGGTTGCAGAGATTGGAGAGGGAGTAGAAGAATTGCCATGAAAATGAGAAAGGAAGGAAGCTTAGCGAAGGAGAGAGGAGGAGGAAGAGGAGGAGGAGGAGAAAGCTAAGCGAAGCAAAGGGGGGTAGGAGGAGGAGGAGAATGAGGAGGAGAATGAGGAGGAGAAGGAAGAGGAGGAGGAGGGGGAGGAGGAGGGGGAGGAGGAGGTAAGGTCACTGCAATACAAGCTTCCATTTTGGGTTTTTCCTCTTTTAGTTGAAACGCTCTACTCAAGGAGAGGATTAAACCTACTCAAGGAGAGGATTAAACCACCAGTACTTCTGGGACTTTTTCCTCCCGGGCTGGAAACGGCTTGCGCGGGCCTCCTTTTCTTTTTTTTTGGCTGGTGTCGCCAGCCATTTCGCTCCGGAGGCCGAGGCCCCCCCCCCTGAAAGTTGTGGCAGCGTGCAAGCCGAATGTTTTATTCTTTGGGTGGGAAACGTGCTGGTGGTTTAAGAGGAGATGTCAAGATGCAGTTGTCCTAGAATATGTTGCGCTAGAAAATGTTGCGCTAGAATACGTTATGCTAAAAAATCTTGCGCTAGAAAATGTTACAGTACAAGAAGTTAGGATGGTCCCTTGTATAGAGACCCATTGATAGTATGGCCTGTTTATATGGGGCTGCTGCCATTTAGCTGGCATTGCCAACTTTATGAGCTGGGGGGTTTATTTCCATACCCCTTCTTTTTTTATATAGGTGCCACACATGGGCTTTATCTCTATTTCAAAAGATTTGATAACGATCATCGCTTTATTTAGGTGTGTAGTGAATTTATGATTGGGAGACCACCTTATGTGGGGTGGCGGTTTGGCGAAGACGGGGAGGCGATGGGGGCCCGGCGAAGATGGCATTAAGCGGAAAGATTGGAAAGGTAGGGGGGGGGGGTCTGGTCCGTACTAGGTTCATTTTTTTCAGGGTAATGTTTCCTGTTTGGGAAAGATGAGGATTGAGGGCGAGAGAAGGCATGTGCTTGCCGCAGCTTGTGCGAAGCTGGGTGAGCGGACGATCTTGAGTCGATTGTCTGTCTTCCTTTTTCTTTTCTTTTCTTTTCTTTTCTTTTCTTTTCTTTTCTTTTCTTTTCTTTTCTTTTCTTTTCTTCTTGTTACGAATTAGTGGCAGCAGCTTTTTTCCACAAATTTGCGGCAGCTGTAAATTTTGCGCAAATGCTTGTGAGAGGGCTTGTGTATCTTGAAATGGTTGGCTTATTTTTCGGAGATGTGCATGTCTGACTGTCTAAATGTGAGCTCGGTCTGGGGTCTAAATGTAGACCGCAGACATTTAGACCCCAGGCATGTCTGGGGTCTGACTGACAGATGCTTGCGTCTCAAGCAGACTCTGTGTCAGTCTGATGACATAGAATCGAGCGGCCTGGGGTCTTCTCCTTCTTCTTCAGACATCTGTAGTGTCTGATAGATTAAGCCTGAGCTGGGAATGACACAGGCAGTGTATTGTTATACTCATAGCGTCCAGATGCAGAGACCTGAGCTCTTGCTAACGGGCTTGTTGTGACCTGATTCAGAGACCCAAGCTCCGGTGCCGCAGAAGGTATCATTGCTTGGATGGTCAGGTTTTCAGACGGGGACATCGATGGGATAAGGAGGTGGATTGAATGAGTGTCCCTTTTGTAAAGGCCATCATTTCTTGCCTAACTGTATTTTGTTTCCCATCAGTGTCATTTTCAGTGAAGGACAATACGCCAGGAGGAGCCTGGCAGTAGTAGGTGGTTTGGGTGTTCATGCCCTTTGGTTCACAGTCGAGGGCTTTGTTATTTGGTGCACACACACACACACACACACACACACACACACACA